CCACCCAACCTTGAACCCAAACGATTGGTTTGATTTTGGAATAATTGACCATGAAGATCCCCCTTTAAAACAATAATCAAAACATGTAAACTATAGCCACCATAACTGTTTGGCCAACATATCTAATAAACAGAGAATTTTTCTGAGAGCCAAATGGAGGAAGAAAAGCCACTGAGCAAGGCAAAGTCAGAATTACTTGCTTCCAATATGTGCTCCCCAAAGAGAATGAGTATGAAATAGCAGGGGAAAAAACTCCTACATTACCTAAGAAACATAATATGATAGCTGTATATTCCAGTCTTAACTAGGTCATAGTTATCTAGGGGCTGGCTGATGCTCTTTTTCATATAAAGCAAATTCTAAAGAAATCCAGATTAACACTTACTGAAATGTGCCTTCAAATGACAGCTGTGAAATAAACTTAAATACACATCTCTCAATGCTATTTCCTTACTAACAAAGTAAAAGTGTTCTAAGTATATAAATAGCATACCTGAGTATCTGCTTTTCTCTCAGTGTTTTACATAAAGAAGGCATTCCCTAAAGTGATGAAATGGTATGCATTAAGGGGTGATCTGCATTAAGTTGGCAAAGGCTAGGAAAAGAAATAATAGAGTTCTAATAACAGAGACTGTTGATGTTGAGAGGAAACGCAGATGATGCCAATAGAAAGGTTTCAAGTAGCAGGGTGAGTGAAAAGGCAGCTCCGTAAGGGTGAGCAAGTGTGAGCTGGAGAAGAGCTTGCATTCTACTGCCAATTAAATGCTTACTATTATGAGAGCTAAAAACTCTTCAAAATGAATAAATGGGTTAAACAGAACGGGGATTACTATTTAAGTAGAGCATTCTAACTTTGCTTCAGATCATGGGAATTCTATAAAATCACAAAGGAGAGAATTAGCTGAACAAAATAGTTTAATTTAATGGGAAATTTATTTCAGAAGAGAAGCTAAGGAAAATTTCTGGAGTTAAGTAATGACATTTAGAATTAGGAGACGTTTATGTAAAAGCAATGTCCAAGGATAAAGTTAAGTAATAAGAATTTTCAGAAAGACCTAGAAAAACCTGAGATAGAGACCTGAGGCACTTTACAAAGAGGAACAAAGAAAAATGTAAGCTCACTATAGGAAATAACTGGAATAGTAGAATTTGACCTAAATTAAATGAAAACATTACACATGCCCGAGTGTAAGCACAGTAACACACACACACACACACACACACACACACACTACCTACACACTTCTTCCTACCTTAGAAACTCCCCCAAAGACTGAGATGAAAATGTTGCTTCTGTTCCTTTTCTTGTCTAAGTAAAACATGAAATATTGCCTATTGCCTGTTATCGGTTTATGCATATTATGGGTTAAATAGAAAAAATATTAATTGAGGGTATCACTTCACTGTAACATTTATTTTATGAAGTCAGAGGAATAGTGATTATTAAAAAGCAGCATAGCTTCAAATTATATACAATACCATATATGCTAATCTGAGGGGAAAAGCCAAAGTCTTAGCTGATGCTCTTATAAATTCCAAAATTTAAGCCAACTTTCAGAAATTAAATTATACACCAAAATATATTCTAAGAATATAAAAGCCTGTTGAGCTGTAAAAGGGATTAAAAAGGAGATTTTCAAGTTATAAATTTTTTTCACAAAATCTCTATTGTTTTTAATTCCTTACTAATTTGATTTAGAAATTTTTAAACAAATTTAAGTGGCTGGAATTGTCTTTTTAAATTTAAATTTCCTAAGAAAAAGAACCAAAATGTGCATGTTCTGACCAGATTGTGTGTGGCCTAATTTATTCAAAATGTTTGGTTCCATATGGGTTTCTTCTTTTTATTTATTACTTCCAGAATGTATTCTCTTTAGTAAGTTAGCAATTCAAGGGCACCAATTTGAAATCCACACCCTGAAAGACCACAGTACCCAGGTCTGCCACCTGCAATGTTTTCTAGGTCGACCAGGGAAAGCAGACTAAGTACAAACTTCTGTGTAGAGCAGAAACCAAGTGTGAGTCTAACCAGGTACTCTACTCAGGTCAGGATTAAAGTTCACAGAATAATTTGGAAATTATTCTCAGCTTGAATATCCCTTATGAGGCCTGAGAATACACCCTTTAATTAGAATACAATTTCCAAAGCAGCCACTCCCTTGACTTTCCAGAGCTCAGTTATTCTCAGCAAAGAAAAGTAAAAACAGCGTCATTACACTGACAGCTAACAGTCCCCTATAAACTATGCCTTGAATGTCCAGCAAAGAAGGCAGCAGCCATCCAGGGCAACGGAGACAAGAGCTGCCAGCCCTCACTAGCCACTTTCAAGAATAAAGAAAAAGAAGTCACATTTGACAGCGTGTCTCTCCTTCACTTCTTGAGTATGCAGCTGAGCTGCCCCATGGAAGCTTGGAAAAAGAGTGGGTTGTGCATTTGAAAATGTTCCCACACCCCGGCCAGCCTCATTTTTCTGATGATCCCTCTATTCAGCCAAACTAGCACTACAGTGGGAACACTAACATCAGCTCCGTGAGAGCCAGCTGTCCGCCTCTTCAGCCTCTTCCACGGTGCTCAGAGAGCCACACAGGACTCCTGGAATGGGAGCCAGCCCAGGTCTGACTCACCACAGATGTTCCCCTCCTCCCATGGAGCTCTGAGCCAGAGTCTCCTTTTCCAGGGCCTATTGTTATTACAAAAGAGTTACTGGGCCCCCAAAATGTGCGAGATGCTTAAGCAAGAAGAAAATACACCTCTTCCTAACCTCGGAGTTAAGACAGACAGACATTAAATTGCACTGAGGTGGCCAATGACTCTGTGGGGAAAGCCAAAGAAGGAAAGTCAGGCAGTCTGAGAGTTTAGTATCAAAGGAGTTGGAATAGCAGAGGCTACCACAATACAGAACTTTCAAATGCTATCCAGAATTGAGTCAGTTTTAAAGATGATATAAAATGTTCCACTTCTGCAAATCCAGATATCAAATTTTTTCTGTTGATCCAACAAAGCAGACTTTGTCTAGAAACGTGTGACTGGGAAAACAACAAAAATGGAGTTTTTGAAATCTGTAATCAAAATTCAGAGTCAGATGTCACCCACAAATATTTGGAAATGCTTGCCAGCTTATGTTTTAGTCAGCAGTGGCATTGCTATCTTTGGCCAGTCTTTTGTATATCCATTCATCTGTCAGTTTTCCCAGCAACCCTTTCAGATGGGGCTATAAATTTCTGTATCTCTTCATTCCTTCAGTGACTATTAGTAGGAAACTAGATAGTTATTCCCTAATGTTCCAAAGTCCCATGGCATAGGCTACATCATTATTACAGTAAAGAAGTTCATGCAATTTACAATATATTTGATCAGTACCCACTTAAGCAATTAAATAACTGGCTTAATTCATTCTTCTTAATGGTATGGATTCTATGACTAACATGAGCTTCGCCTAATAATACAAACAAATTTAACACATTAGCATGACTCTCCATATTCTTATTTAATAATGTTTGTATTTTCGTTGTCGTTGTTCTGAGAAATCTTATTCATATTTTCCTATTGTGGGCCCTAGGAAAAGAGATTAAGGAAATAAATTAATTAAATGAAACACACACTTAAAATTGTTACTACTGAAAAAATGTGAGAAAACCATTTTGCTTCCCAACAGGTAGAGGTAAAATTGTCTCTAGGACTTCTAGTGCTAACTCTGGTTGCTAGGAAATGAGAGACAAAACAGGCCAGTTATTCCACAAAATCATGTGTTTCACAATAGCAGAGTCAATATTAGATGAAAGCTAACCAATATATGTTTCTGAGATAAATGTTTTCTTGAAATAATGTTTATTTGATTCTTTGGATAAAGCTATATAAATCTTCCTCCTTACTAATTTCTGAGTCTCATTTCCTTCCTTCCTACTCCCTTCTCCAAAATGGTCCTAAAATTAAACTAAAACATACTCATTTTTAGAGCTTTTGTTTGAAACCTGGAAATTTCCTTCAATAGAGTTTTTATTGTTGTTGCTTGTTTTCTCCTAAGTTGGTCTCTTTTCCTTCTTTTTTTCTAATTTATTTTGTTTGGTTTTCAGTTAGGGACAGGTAGCGGTATTCTAGAGAGGAAAGAAATGTTCTAAGCTTCAAAGTGTAATATGGAAGAGAGTAAAGGGTCTTTAGTATGAAGTTATTTAAACTAAAGAATTAAATTTTTAAAAATAAAATAAACATTCGATCCCAGAAGTAAATTATCCTCTATCCACTCTGAAAAGCTGAGAAGGAAACATGGTACTTTAGTTAATGTAAAGGAGAATATCAAAAGATTGACTCCCATGAGCTTCCAGGTGTGGCCTAGCAGCAACCTTTACACCTACGTGTAGAATAATTCATTGCATGGCAAATTCATCTTGAATACACCTTCGGGAAGTTAGTGACCAGAATGTAAGCTCCAAAAGCTCAAGAGCAGAATCTGACACAGAATCCGCATTCTGAACAGCACCCAAAAGACATGGTATTGCAGGGCATTCAACGAGTAACGTGAAAACAGACCAAAGCTTTTGTATGTATTCTACACAGAAATTTTAGGAAGAAGAGTATCAGAAAAAAAATTTAACAGCAGTGATAAAATATGAATTGTAAAGAAATTCAGTCAGTTAGCCAGAAGAGCAGAGACCACAGTAGCTTTTAGCTCCAGCTTTCTCTTTTTAGTTTCTCCATCCACATAGAGTTGTTTGACTTCCACTTAGTTGCTACTCAAAATGGAACTGAATTTTGACTAAATCTGTCTGAGAATAGAGTCCAATATTAATGGGTCAATTCTTCCTTTCTGAAGAAAAGAGTACACTGACAGCATTATTTATATCCTAGCTTTAGCTTTGTAATTTAAAATACTAATAAAACCACTTTCAGATAAACTCTGTTGATTTACAGATGAGCAGTAGAATTATCAGGGACAATTAACAGAGAATATATTATCATAATCATATCCCCAAATCACTCAAAATGTTTCTAAAAATACTTACTTCTGATGAGTTCACCATCTGAAGGATTTCCCCAAATGGACTGGTCTTGCATCTCTCCATGTGCGAAGCGGCTATCACTAGCCTGAATTATATCTTTCTCAGTATTGTCTTTATCACATTTTCCTGAATTTAAAAAAAAGATACAGTTATTATAGTTGAATTTTACATATTTTTTTCTTTGTTTAGTATATGGATTTTTCTAAATGCTTCCAAGTCTGCCATAATTTAAAGAAATAAACAGGTATTCCTCTATTGACTGCTGCTTGTTATTGGCTCAGTAACAGATATTTACTGAGGACCCACTATCGGCCTGACATTAAAGAACCAGAGATATTCATAGTAAAAATGATTTGTTACGTTTACAAGTAATTTTAGCACAGCAAGTGATGTGCCAGTGGTAGAGCAATGTGGAAAGATTACAGCAAGGTTGAAAGTGAGTGAGTCCATGCATGTAGTGGGTGGAGCGGCAGAGAAAGGAGCAAAAGAGAAGAGGCTCTGAAGAGCGGTGGGGACGAAAGTCAGCCTGCAGCTGAATGAGGAGTGATTTGCGTAGTGATGAGGTATAGAAAGCAAGTATAACATTCTCTCTGTAAAAAGTGAGGAAAAAGTCAAGGACTGTATACTGCATCCTCCAAGAAGTGGGTGTTTAGGATGAGAGATTTGCAGGTGGGTTTACGCATTCTCAGGGGGAAAGCCAATATGTAAAGAAATGTAAAGTCTTTTCGGGATCATAAGTCAAGCCAAAAGCAAACTGGTAACAAGGTAAAATGCAAGCTATGAGAGGTCCAGAGCACTAAAGAGGTTCAAGTGAAGAAAAAAATACTCATCAGGATTCAGAGATCAAGAAAAGCGATGAAGAAAAAGGTACATGTTGAATCGTCTTTAAAAGATTAGTTGGATTTCATAAACGAAAGTTGGGAGAAAAGTGGAAGAACAGCATGGGCAAACTCCAAAAGCAGGTATTTGGGCAAAGGTTCCAACTCTCTGGACTATGAAGTACTGTGAGTGGAAAATTAGGAGTTAAGACTGTAAAGGTTTGATTAGAGACACTGTGTGGATATTAGAATGCTAAGGTGAGAAATCTGGATGCAATTCAAAAGCAAGAAAAATAAATCAAAGTAGCCACTGAAGCTTTACGAAATGCCTTATCAGAGCCATGCCTTAGGAAGATTAATAAACTTGTGCAAACTTGTGATTATCAGTTCTGGCCGCACCCATATTCCTGGGTACCACTACCAAAGATTTTATTTCAACTGCGGGAGAAGAGGCTGCACTCAGATAATTCCACTAGAGTATGGATAGATGTAAGAGGGAGAATACAGTAAGGGAAGCTAAAAGAGAGACTTAGCAAAGCCCATATTGAAGTTGACAAGCGTTTAATTAACTGGATAAAATGATGGAACAGAGGGTAAATGTGAGACACTAACTAGGAGTTTGTAGAGATAATCAAGGAAGATGGGGTTGGATATGACCAAGTTCTCAGTCTGGACTTGACTGGGAAAGCCTAGAAATCAGGAGAACAATTTATTCTTTTAATAATAGATATTTTTGCACAGTAGATGTTTAGGCATTGTGCTAGGTGATGGGGATACAACGAATTATGAAATGCTGCCCAGGCCTTCTTGGAGTTTACAGTCTAGTGGATGAGTTTGGTACTGGACATTCAAATTTGCAAGTCAGGAAAAGGGCTAGAGCTAGAAATAGTCGTCTTTCTATACTTGATTGCCAAAGTCATTCAAATTAATGAGCTCACTAACAGAGTGACTATATTAAGAAGTATCATAAAGAGTAGCAAGTACCAAGAAGAGTCCGTACAATTAGGAAGAAGTTAGAGAAGAAAAGCTGGATGACGTCAAGCCATGGAAGCAAAGAAAGGAAAGAGATTCAAACAGAAGTTGTTAGTCAACTGTGTTAACATTTCCAGTGGAAGGAAAAAATGTCTGCACATGCAAAACTTTTTCATGGACCATGGGGATTTCACAACAATTAAAAATTCTGCCATGAAACAAATTTCAACACATAAAAATAGATAGACACCCACTTAGGACCAAGTCCAGAGGCTAAGGTCTCTGAACAAAATGGGATCTTAAATTCCAAGGATTTTTAAAAACAAACCATATTCAAATAGCAGTAAAATATAAATTGAAAACATGCTAAACCAATATGCTCTAGATTTATGTAACATTTACTCAGCGTTATCATAGAGAAATGTAATCTTCATGAGATATGTTAGTTTCAATTAAAATCTTTACCCTTTTAAACAAGTCCAGAAATCATTCCACTGCTACAGTCAACTCAAGGCCATTCTGAGATTATCAATAAAAGAAATTTTTCATGGAAACTCACTAGTAGACATGAACTAGCTCATCAGCACAGTCCTACATACTTGCTGCCACTGTTATGTGGCTGACTGCCGCCAGGTGTCATGCTAGTAAGCTTGATTCAATTAGCAACTTTAATTGAAGCTGAATGAAATTAATTATATAATTTTGAGCTGTTCACGTTTAATTCCATTAAAATTAATTCATGAAACCAAGGCATTATGAAGCATTGCTGACTGAAAGAAAATAGGTATGAATAAAGCCTCTAGACACACTTGACTCAAATTTGAATCATGTCCAATATTCGAGTGCTGAACACAGACCCTCTCAACTCTCCACTGAATAAATGAAAATGCCATGTGGTCCATATACACATAAATGTACAACTATGCAACCCACTCTAGGCAAAAACTGAAGCTCTTCCTGCTCTAAATTGTTATTAATGGACAATTTATCACACTTTTTAAAAAGTTTCCTTATCTGTGAAATTCCAGAATTAGGTGATTCCCGGTGCCCTTCTCAGGTGAAAACAAAAAAATCTATCATTCTCTGTCTGATTATATTCAATAAATAATATGCAATTATTATTAATTCACTATTCTCAGTCTATTCAACTTTGCCTCTCTTGAAAGCTAAATGTCTTGGCTCAAAAGTTGGTCTCAGGTTTTTGCTGTGATCCACAGCACCCAGCCCAAAGTTCAGAAAAGGTTCCCAATAAAAAATTTAAATTGACTTGCCAATTCTCCACTTGTATAGACTAAACTTCTGTGACCACTTGACTGTTTTGTGACTTTCTAATTTATACATGTTATTTTATTAATACATCCTTACTACTTACTAATTTCAATTAACTACCCATATGGCAGTCTCATAAATGGTAAGCAAGTTACATATATCTCTGAAGAAATGCTCTCAAGAGAGAGAAGGACTTATTGACAGATAATTGTAAGATGGGAACCATGATATCCAAACATAAAACCAATCTTATTAAAGCTTTCAATGGGTTGAGTCAGCCATTACTCATTGCAATAACAAAATGGAAGTTTCTAGTAACCAAGTTCTATTATCAATGTAGGTTTTCTGTGTCGTTTCTGAAGTGAGAAACAGAGACTCAGCCCTTGTTTAATAAATTTCATTCTGGATATTGGAGGTTTGTCGTTGCGACTAGACAATCCATAGGCAATCGAGTGATTTCAGTCACGTATGAAATCAGTCTATACCTTTCTACAAGATTTCTATTTACATGTCCATCATGTGTACATCCCTAACCCAGTGTAGGAATTTTCTCTTAAAAGGGGGGCCTTCATTATCTCAACAATGCTGTCCTTCTGAGCCACTGGTTCTCTACCTTCCCTCTGGGTCGGAACTGCTCTACAGCTCTTTAAACATAAAGATGCACAGGCCCAACTTAAGAGATTTCAACTCAGTTGTGTGTGGGGCTGGGGGAGTGATATCATTGTGATATATGACCATGTTTGAGGGGCACTATTCTAAGTTAACTCTTATCTTATACTACACAGCTATTTATATTTAAAAAAAAAAAAACAACCTTAGGTATATCAAATATTGAGATACAGATGTTGCTACTCAGCCCCTTGCCATAGTATTCCAAGTACTAGAAAATAGATTTGTATCTAATCATCTAATAAAGAGGTATTTATTTCTGTCTCCATGTAAGGACAACTATTAAGAATACAAAATCTGGCTGGGCGCGGTGGCTCATGGCTGTAATCCCAGCACTTTGGGATGCCAAGATGGGAGATAACCTGAGGTTGAGACCAGCCTGACCAACATGGTGAAACTGTGTCTCTACTAAATATAAAAAAAAAAATAGCTAGGCATGGTGGTGCCTTCCCATAATCCCAACTACTTGAGAGGCTGAGGCAGGAGAATCATTTGAATCCAGGAGACGGAGGTTGCAGTGAGCCAAGATTGTACCGCTGCACTCCAGCCTGGGCAACAAGAACAAAACCCCATCCACCTCCCGCCCCGCCCCCCCAAAAAGAACATAAAATCTAAATTATATACAATGCTAATCAACTCTACTAATAATGGGATAAAAGAAACACGTTTTAGATATTAAAATTTAAAAACTGAAGACACAGTAAAAATAGTACTAGATCAAAGGATAGTTGAACACCACTGGCATCTCCTTCCAAAAGGCTAGCTCCTGAGCATCCTAGTATGCCCACTCTGGACAAAGAAGTGAGGAAGAACTACTTTCCTTTGGATGAAAAAAAAAATGCTAGGTCCCTGACAAAATATCATCTTGCCGGAGACACCAAACACACACACATAAACAATCAAACAACTACAAAACAGAAGGTAATAACAACTGCTCCCTCCTAATTCTGGCTCAAAGGCTGACCAGCTGTGTGACTGGGACTCATTGTCTTCATCCTCTTCATCAGGAAATGACAGCATTGAACTGGATGAATGCAGAGTCCTTTCTGGCTCTAAAATTCTGCAAATCTGATTCTGCACAAGGGCTAAACAATAGAGCCAAAATCTCATATGCACGCGGAAGAGTGTTTAGAATGGAGTAGAGGAAATCATAGAAAAGCCATTGTAGGTCATTGGATTTGAATTAATTCTCAAAGAAGGTGACGAACATGAATTGAGCAAGAGTAAATGGAAAAACTAAGGGTTCCTAATGATCAGTTTAAATACAATATATCCTACACAGAAATGACTATCTATCTTATAGGATCAATACCCTTTATTTTCCTGTTTCTAAAGAACGGCATGAATGGTAAGAAATAATCTTCTCCAATCTCTTCCTGTTGAAGGAGAATGAAAAAT